ACTGGGAATGGTATGTCATGTACAAATAAAATATACAGTTGCATGCTGAGGACTGAACCTTGTGGTACTCCTGCTTTTAGCAGGAATGAATCAGATATAGCATTACTAATTTTAACTTTGGCAGTTCTATTTGTGAGAAAACTAGATAACCATTTAATTATGGAAGGAGTACATTTTATTTAACAAGTTTGAATCTTAGGACATTGTGTTGGGTTGCATACTATTTTCAACTTGCAACATAAAAACGTGGGGTTAGATTTTATACACTGTGTAAAAGTCAGGGTGACTTTTTATTAAAGAGGTAGCAACCAAAGTAATGGCAGTAGAGGTGCTTTCTGTTACCTGCTTTGAACACTCAGTTTTTAATGTCCTTCCACAGTGTTTCACCAGATTAATTAACTGATGGTCAATAGCCACAGAAATGTCTTATGGGTCAAAGTAGGAAGTGTGTATAACTCAAGAAATGTAGTGACTGTTGGAGTAGAAACTTCAGCTGAGTTTTTGTATTATTGCAGTAGTGGTGGACATTTCTTTTCATTGCATTCCTTCATAGAGAGCTCTAGTACATTTGTGTACCTCCCCCCCCCCCCCACACACTTTGTTGATTGATGTGCAAAATGTGTTCCAATTATTTTGTTGTTGAATTTTGATTAATTTTTTAATTTGGTTATTGGCATTATTGATAGCTGGTTTAAGTGTGTGGTCTCGAGTTCTGACGATTAGACATTGAAGTCTTCTTTCTATAATTAGATTATTTATTTATGGAGTAAGTTTCCAGGAGTTATGATTTGGAGTGATTGTTTTACTAGGGACTGTGTCTTTGATGGCTTGTAGTACAGTGTCTGTGATTAGGGAGGTGAGGCTATCAATATTGGACTAACTGGATGTATTATTGAGAGTATCAAATAGTGAGTCTTCTATCTTTTTATTTAATGCTATGATATCTAATTGAGAGTAATTGAGAGTTTTGTTTGTGGGTGGAGTAGCGGCTCAGATATTGTATATGTTGAAGGAAATAGGGTCATGGTCACTGCTGAGATTATCCAGAACTTGAAAGTTATTGGAGTGTGAGATCAGAGATGGAGAAACTATGGCGAGATCTAATATGTCCTGTGTACCATTGGGATTAGTCTGAGTCTTGTTACTGTTATTAATGGTATAGTAGCTGTTGTCATTAAGTAAGCGATGAAATATTCTGCTGTTTCTATTCCTGGATTTGCAGTTAAAATCTTTGGTGATTACAATGTGAGGATATTTATTAATAACTGATTGTATATAAGACGTGTCAGATAACGATGTTGAGGAGATATATATGGCTAATACAGTGTGTGTGTGACCATTAGGTAGGTGAATGTGGTATAGTATGTGTTCATTATTACGAGGTTGCGAGGCATCATGTCTCAAGTATATACATATTGAGTTCTTAAAGCTTATACAAAACTTTTGATGAGGTAAAAATGAATACTGTAATATGTTATAGTTATAAATAAATTTTGTGAAAGTTAGGATTTTTATGTTATTTACCATAGCATTCACCCCTCCTTAGTTCACAACCTGAACAAAGGATGAGTACCTCAGATTGTTGTAATACATTGATGATTACATCATGTACTAACACAGTTCATGTTTTAATGTGTCTAAGATGGGAGAGAGCTCAGTCCTAGTGACAGGTACAAAATCTCAAAGGCATGAGGAATAGTTACTTTGTGCAACAAGATAACATTTTGTGTCAACTGGTCAAAATGATTAATTTATTTGAAATGCCTGGTACCATTACAAAATCTGCCAGCAATTTGACAGTTCATACATCAACCAGAAATTTGACTTCGCAACCATACCTGAACTTTACCAACCAATGCATGTAATCCATCTCTAAAGAGGCATAAGAGGGGTAAAGGTAATCTTAAGCAGTGTTATATTCCACACTGGAAATACTATTGATCTGCACGTGGGTAGTCTAGTTTGAGAGAATTGTAAGTATTTTTTTACTGAGTAACTTAGATATTTGTATAAAACTTCTCTTCTAAGATTAGTCTGATCACTAAACCTTAGTATGCAAACTTAATGTTATTTATCGCCCAAGACATGTACAACTATTGATATTTCTTTTAAAAAAGTTTCTAGGTTTATTATTTGATTATTTTGAATGAATAAAATTTCTTTATACAGACATAACTTTAATTTTAAATATGAAAGTGATTTTTTAAACACAATATATATTTCACTAAACATTCAGATAATTACATATGTCCATGCATAATATTTGTTTCCTACACTCCAAGTACATTCTGTAGAATTTAAACAGCTTTTACAGAAAATGAAGGGTAAATCATTTTTATTGACAAATGTTTTGGATCCTCTGTATATATATTTTTATACCACAATCATATAGAGTACTCAAGAAATAACTGTATAGAGTAATCAACAAAAAGTTGTCAGAATAATACCATCTGTATGCATTCAATTCATAATATTTGCATAATATAGGTTTGACAATTTAATGGGTTATTTATTTGAGCTGTGATGTTTAGTTACCAATGCTAGATATATAATCAGTTTCAAATGTAATGTAATATCTATAAATGGAATGCTCAGCAGTGTCGGGTTTTATGTACATGTTGGCTGAGGATTCTTCTACAGTAGGCATCTGTGGCTTGTTGGCAATGAATTCAAACAATAAACGGAGAGCACACAATACACGTTTTAAAATAATATATTAAAAATAAGTCAAATGTATGTAAAAAGATTCTTTACAATATGGAATATCACAGTTATATCTAAAACTCTAAATAATTCTCTTTCCTTGTCAAAAAGTCCATTTAGGCTGATTCAATTACTTTAGAACACCCTTTGACAAACAAGACAAATTATTCTCCTTATCAACGTTAAACTGTGAAACTAACTTTAAAATATCAATGATTAAGGCTAATCACTCGCATGCCAGCTAACTTCACATTTTCTAACTTGTCTCTGACTGAACTTGACTGACCTTTGCTTCTTTAGTTCTTAACTTGTGCTCGCTTGGTTGCCTATATTTATATGTTGATCACAGAGTCCTCATACTTTCTGTAAAGTATGTGAATTGTGCTGATTTAACAATACTCAGTTAAGGCAACAAAAAAAATAGTGAAGGTTTGAGTAATATGGTGTCAACAATATTAGTAAAACCTCAACAACAATGTAATTGCAAACACAAAATATGACTTGTACAGAGTTACATAATAAAATTTGTTACAACTAAAACTTTTAAAACAGTCTACCTTAAACACTCCTGTCTTAAAAACCAAACAATCATTAAATATTAACTCACAAAATAAATTAAGTAATAATGCCTACACTAAACAGTCTTGTATATCTAACAGGCAGAACGATTATTATGACTCATTTGTAAACAATTTATGTGTTCAGCAATTAGCATATACATTGTGTATATACATGTATGATTCATGCAATTGATTAGAATGTCATTTTGAATATTTAATTGGCAACTTACTGACATGCATACACAATCATTTTATGTATAAAAAAATTGTACATGTACAGCTACACCTACTATCCTCGTTTGTACCTGATTCGATACATACGAATATAAATATTAACCACGTTATCTCTCTCAACACGAGCTCTGTCAATTTGACTGATCATGTAACCACTTTGTACTTGTTATAGTTTAGATACTACGAACTTTTAATATATTAAGTGTAGCTTCACAAAATTTGGTAGTAGTTCACTAAATAATTTTAATTTAATAAAATAATGCAACAAAGAACATAGAATAATAACATGCAGAAAGCAAAAAAATGTTCCGTAACTATCACAATTTTTCTGGCTTTCTATCTCTGCAAAAAGAACCATTAAAACTTCATCCAACTACTCAATAGCATTCCCGTGGAAACCAAAACATTTTCTCAGCAAGTAATTTACATTTTTTTGTGTAGAAAACAACGTAATATAATAAGTCATTTGATAGAAAAAACCTTGGCATACTATTGGTTATAACTAATATAGTCGAACATGAGAGAGAACTACTAACAAAACCTAAAAGTGAGAATGTGAGAGGTGGGTGTGGCAGGAGATGTTTGATTTTATAATTGCTGGTTCTGTAACCAAAAAATTTAAAGGCTAGTAAAAAATTGATTTTTCCAAGCAATGACGATATTATAATGAGAAATTTACGTTAAATTTCATACTTATTGGAGGGGAGGTTACTAAATTAGAGAAGAGGGAATGCTAAGAGAAACACTGTCACAATTCTCACACTAGGGAAAATTCAGGATTTTCTTTTATATCGCCTTTTAAAATTATGAAGTTAAAACTTATATACTATTAAAATATAGCTTATCAGCTACAATTTTATGCTATGCTAATTGATATAACTTAAACAAAAGGTAGTTGAATTAAATTTTGAATGTAACTCACTAAAACCCTAGTGACATGCACAGTAAAGGATGCCCAGGCAGAGAGGGTTATACCACTCGAAGTAAGCCATTTACTGTCATTTTACTCTCACTATCTGTTCATGATAAGGTGAGTTTTTTCCTTCTTTAGATCAATTTTTAAACTGTTATATGATTCTCTTTATATTTTATGTAAGTCAGCTATTTTGGAAAAATGTAAACAATGATTTTTTTTGTTTTTATACTCCTAAATTTGCCCACACTCTGTCTGTATGTTTTTAACATTATTGCAATAGCCATCAAAAACACTCCAAGACCACACCAGAAAACATTATTGGCTAGACGACATTAAGGAAAAGTGCTATGACTTATAGGTACCATGTAGGATATTAAATCACAACAAATAATTACCACTATAAATATTATAGAATTTTTTAGCAATTTACCAACTGTACTAAAGACCTAGAATTCAAATATATACCTACTATAAGGCTTAGTCCAACCGAGATATGTGTTGAACCTAATAATTATTTTCATAGTTTTATGCACATACCATTTCTTAAATTATCCATAACAATGTTGCCAATATTTTAGTCTAATTTTCTAGATAAATGTATCCTCCAAAGATGCATAAACTTCACAGGCAGTTTTAATAGCATTTCTAAAACTGGTAACATTAGTAAAATTGGTATCACTTGCAGAATCAACATCCATTTCAGTAATGATGAGCCCATCAAGATCGGTGCCACGTGCAGAACCAACATCGACTTCAGTAATAACAAACCTATCAGTATCAACATCACAATTTGCAGAACCAACATCCACCTCAGTAACAATGAACCTGTCAGTATTAACATCACATTGTCCAGAATCAACATCCACTTCAGTAACAGCAAACCTGTCAGTGTCAACATCATAATGTATAGAATCAACATCCACTTCAGTAACAGCAAACCTGTCAGTGTCAACATCACAATGTGCAGAATCAACATCCACTTCAGTAACAATGAACCTGTCAGTGTCAACATCACAATGTGCAGAATCAACATCCACTTCAGTAACATCAAACCTGTCAGTGTCTACATCACAATGTGCAGAATTAACATCCACAGTAGTAACAAAAATATTAGCAGCAAAAAAAAGCAAAATGCCAAACTTTCCAAGAAGGTTGGAAAACCACTTCCCATCGGTTGAATACAGGTGTGATATGAATGATATAATTTGCTATGTATGTACGTGGGCTGTGCAAAGTAATTGCTTAGTTCCATAACAGCATTCCTAAGTTTTCATATCTCCATGGGTAATAGGATGGAATGATTTTAGAAAGGGGCAAGGATGGTCTACAAAAGCATGACAGAAGTCAGAGTCATAGAGAATGCACAACTACGAAAAACCAATATTGAAACACAGGACACAATGGCAAAGAATGTTATCAGCAAAGAAGCTGAAAGACAGAAGGCAAATAAGAAAGAATTTGAAGTGATTTTTGATGCTATTGTTACGTCTCTGGTCGTTAGTTAATTTCCCGTATAATTTCTTTCCGATGAAACTTTAGCGACACAAGTTCTTTCTTAAATAAACTAGTTTATTCTTTCTCAATTCAACTTTGTAATACACTTAATTTACACAGCCAATTTAACTTAACTAATTTTATAAAAACATGTTATAATTCACAGGAACGATTCATGCACTTACTTACTACCACGCTTGACTCAATTGTCCATCTCTGTCTGTCTGCAATTCTATC